TCATCTCTGCACCTTGATTTTTTTCCACTTGAAGACTATTCTTGGCGATCTTTTCTGCTTTTGCATGACTGTGTCATGTTGCACGGTTAAGAGGAGTTGTGTTTTATTTAACCAGCCCCTATTGATAGACATTTAGTTTTTTTATAATCTTTAGCTCTTACAATAAATGCTGCAATAAATAATCTTGTACATTCATAATATCTTCCATGTGTAAATACGTTATAAAAAATGTCAGAAATTGAATCACTAGAGCAAAGGATATATAAATTTTATTTCCATTAAAAAATTTTTAAATTGAACTTTAACTTGCAAAAACTAAAGTGTACAACTCAATAAATTGTGCATGGTTACACACGTTTGTCACCTCACCTCCACCTGGATAGGTATAGGCTGCCGTGGAACATTCCCAACCCTGCCTCTCATGTTTTGTCTGTTGATACCCATCCTCCAAGATAATGTGCTAATCTGACCTCTATCACCATGGATTGGTTTTGCCTGTTTCTGAGTTTAGGATAAATGGAATCATAAAGAATATACTCGTGTGCCTGGTTCCTTTTGTTCAACATTGTATCATGTCATGTTTAGCTGCAACTCTTTCTTTTCTATTGCTGGTTATCTTCCATTGCATGAATATACCACAATATATTTATCCATTCCTCTATTGATGGCAGTGTGGGTTGCTTTCAATGCTGCTATAAACAATCTTTTGAGGGACATTTTAAAGTTCACATCCATTGGTTATATGCCTAGGAGTGGAATTGGTGTACACATTTTTTTGTTGTTGTTGTTAATCCTCACCTGAGGATATTTTTTCTATTGATTATTATTTTTTTTTTTAGAGTGGAAGGGAGAGGGGAGGAGGAGATAGAGGAGAAAGAGGGACAAATATGGATGTGAGAGAGACACATTGACTGGTTGCCTCCCACACATGCCTCGGCCAGGGCTGGGAATTGGACCTTGACTGCAAATTGAACCCCTTCAGTGTGAGGGCCAACACTAACCACTGAACCACACTGGCCATGAGCACATTTTTAATTTATTTATGTTTTTTGTTTATTTTTAAATATAGTTTTATTGTTGATAATATCATAGATATCTTTCATTCCCTCCTTTCCCTCCTCCTAGCCACTACCACCACCCCCAGGTCTTCACCACCCTATTGCCTGTGTCCATGGGCTATGCATATCCTATATAATAAAACCCTAATATGCAAATTGACCAAATGGCAGAATGACCTGTGGAACAACCGGTTGCTATGATGTGCACTGACCACCAGGGGCAGTCACTCAATGCAGGAGCTGCCCCCTGGTGGTCAGTGCACTCCCACAGGGGGAGCGCCACTCAGCCAGAAGCTAGGCTCATGGCTGGCTAGTGCAGCAGTGGTTGTCGGGATCCTATCCTGCCTCCACTGCAGGCGTGCAGTAAGGAGCAAGGGTTCTGGACTGCGACAGCCTCGAACTGCGAGAGGGATGTCTGACTGCCACGTTTAGGCCCGTTCCTCGGGGGGGGGGGGGGGGGGGGTGCGGAGGGGAGATCGGGCCTAAGCCAGCAGACGGACCTCCCCTGAGGGGCCCCAGACTGTGAAAAGGCACAGGCTGAGCTGAGGGACCCCACCCCCCAGTGCAAGAATTTTGTGCACTGGGCCTCTAGTAAGTATATAAGTTCTTTGGTTTATCTCTTCTTGTCCCCCCAAGCACATTTTTAATTTGGATGGCTATTGCCAAATTGCCCTCCACAGAGGCTGGTGCGGTGTTAGGGAGAGCCTGTTCTCTTGTCCTGCAGGTAAGCGCTCAAGTCAGCACAATATCTGGCATAGAGTCAACACTTATTATAACCCTGCAACCCCAGCTCCAGGGTCACAGGAAAATGCTGTGTGAGCCCTGAAGCCCCACTCCAAGCGAGAGATTATGATGTTGTGAATGTGCCTCACTAGAAAGATCAGATGAGAGGGAGAAGGAGTCAAGTAACTCATTTCCACTCCCAGAGAAACCTCTTTAATCTACATATATAAAAGCCTAAGCGACCATTCAACAGGTAGCTATGATGCCCACTGACCACGAGGGGGAAGACGCTCAACACAGGAACTACCCTCTGGTGGTCAGTGCGCTCCCACAGTGGGAGCACCCGCTCAGCTGACCAACAAGTGCCAGATGGCTGGCGAGCACAGCTGCGGCAGCACGAGCCTCTCACGTGACACAGATCTTAGCTACAGTAAATAATGCTGCTACAAACATAAGGGTGCATATTTTCTTTCTGATTGGTTTTTCAGGCTTCTTAGGATATATTGTTAGAAGTGGGATCACTGGGATAAATGGTAGTTCCATTTTTAATTTTGACACTGTGTTTAATAGTGGTTATACCAGTCTGCATTCCCACCAGCCACTAGAGTTCCCTTTGCTCCACGTCCTCACCAGCACTTGATGCTTATTGATTTATTGATAATAGCCATTCTGACAGGTCTGAGGTGGTACTCCATTGTCATTTTAGTTTGTATCTCTCCGATGATCAGTGACTTTGAGCATTTTTCTATATGTCTCTTTGCTATCTGTATTTCCACTTCAGAGAAGTGTCTATTTAGGTCATTTGCTCATTTTTTAATTGGATTGTTTGTCTTCCTTTTGTTAAGTTGTATGAGTTCCTTATATAGTTTGGATATTAACCCTTTATCAGATGTATCATTGCCAAATATGTTCTCCCATACAGTGTGATCCCATTTCATTTTGTTGATGGTTTCTTTTGCTGTGCAGAGCTTTTTATTTTGATGTAGTCCCATTTGTTTATTTTCTCCTTAATTTCCATTGTCTTAGGAGATGTATCTGCAAACATATTGCTACTAGAGGCCCAGTGCACAAAATTCGTACACTGTGTGTGTGTGGGGGGGGGTTCCTCAGCCTGGCCTGCACCCTCTTGCAGTCCAGGCCCCTCAGGGGATGTCTGCCTGTTGGCTTAGGCCTGCTCCCCTGGAAGTCAGATCCCTCTCACAGTCCAGAACCCCTCACTCCTTACCGCCCACCTGCTTGCAACTCCTTACTGCTCGGTTCACTGCTCCATTGTGCTGCTGTAGAGGCAGGAGAGGCTCCCGCCACCACAGCTGTGCTCACCAGCTGTGAGCCCAGCTTATGGCTAAGTGGTGCTCCCCTTGTGAGAGTGTGCTGACCACCAGGGGGCAGCTCCTGCATTGAGCATCTGCCCCCTGGTGGTCAGTGTGCATCGTAGGGACCGGTCATTCTGGTCATTCTACCATAACAGTCGCTTAGGCCTCTAGTAAAAAATAAAATAAAATAAAACTTTAAAAATGGTAAAATAATAGTAATAATAATAATAAATAAAAATATAATAATAAAAAGTGAAATAAAGTGAGAAAAAAATTAGTTTCTTAAGTAAAAGACAAAAAATGAAAAAGTGAAGTAGTGAAGTTCATTCACTTTAGTGGAGCTTCAATGACCCATGGGGGCTGGTTTAAGACCCCTCTCTACTGTTCTGCCTGGCACGTCTGTTTCCTGTCAGGTAGTCAGCACAGTGTTGAAGTTCCCAGTGATCCACAGCTCCTCTGTGTCATAAGCCACAACCTTGGTTTCAGGCAGGCAGAGTCACTCTGCTCACTTTGTTTCTCTGCCTGCCTTCAGTTGTATTTACACAAGCATCTATTTCTGACACAGCCCCTGGGTGACGGTGTTTCTGTATTCATTTCTGGGACCAAATGGCCCCTCGACCCAGTCCCCCAGGGTTCCCTGGGGGTGTTTAGACTCTTCCTTTCCCTGCCTCACTCAAGTCGGGGTTGGAGGAACAGACTGTCCCAGAGTTGGTTTCCTGCTTGTCTCTCCCTATTCTGCTCCCCAATTTCCACAAAAACCACCTTCCCCTGCAGTCTCAGTGAGTGTTTTTAATGGAAAGATCCTATGCACTAGGTTTAGCAAGCGAAAGCAAGGAAGTTATAAAGACAAAGCAACCATACCACCTCACATCTTTCTCCCCCCAGCACTGTGTGTCCAGTATAGAACTTCAGGCTGCCTTCCTGGGCACAGTCTCCCATGGCTGTGTGCTTAGATCTAGAGTCCCCCTCTGCCAGCAGCCCTGTGGACCCCCTTCCACATCAGAGGGCTACACTGACCACAAGGGCTGCGGATTTGGTGCAGCACAGTCTCCCTCTGAGATTCTAGTCCTGCCTGTGTGCGTTTCTCCCTCTAGCCCGGATTCCAGATCCCACCTCTCTCCAGGCAATCTCTGACTTTTCTGTCCACAGATTGCCTTACCAGCTGTGTTTAATTCACTAATTCCAGGTGGGTGTTATTCGATTCAGCTGTTCCTTCTATCTTCTCTGTGAGAAGGTGCAGGAACTGTCCGCACATTCGGCCGCCACCTTACCTTTCCTAGGACAAGCTTTTTAGGTGCCTGTGGCCAGGAAGGCTGGAGTCTCGGTGTTCGTGGGTTCACAGCTGAGGCATTTGGTCCCTGGGCGTTGTGGTTGTAGGGTCACGGGAGGTATCCGAGGTCTCCCTGGATGAAGGTAAGGCGGGGCTTTCGATCACAGCCGCTCTCCCCTTCAAGATGGCACAGTCTCTCCGGCAGAGCTGGAGCTGCTCCGGGAGAGATTTCAGCAGTAGTAGAGGCTGCCCAGCCAGGGGAGCCTGGTCCGCCAGTCCCCACCAGTCTTGTGGAATATAACTATCCCTCACTCACAAATACACACACTCCCCGCACGTCCATGCACTCTCCTTTCGCTCTCTCACTCACTCACACTATCTTGCTGACTGCCATTCAGCTGGCTGCCATCTTGGATCTCCCTCATATATTCTGGCTGATCTCTTACTCTTTACCCCCCACCTTCCCTCATAGGTTGGACAGTCTGTTTGATGCTTTTATGACTGGTTCTATTTTTGTTCATCAGTTTATGTTGTTCATTATATTCCACAAATGAGTGAGATCATGTGATATTTATCTTCCTCTAACTGGCTTATTTCACTTAGCATAATGCTCTCCCGTTTTATCCATGCTGTTGCAAAAAACAGTAGTTAGATGCCACGAAGTAGGTGGCAATGCCTTGGCCGTATGCACGTTGTTCGGCCCGAGAACCTCTTCCGTCCTTGTGAAGGGGAGTGCTAACCTTCACTCCTTTCACACAACACTCCCAACACCATTTATTGAAGAGATTGTCGTGACTTCATTGTATCCTCTTGCTGCCTTTGTCAAATATTAATTGACTATAATAGCTTGGGATGATTTCTGGGTTCTCTGTTCTGTTCCATTGATCTCTATGCCTATTCTTATGCCAGTACCAGGCTGTTTTGATTACAGTGGTTTTGTAGTATAACTAGATATCTGGTATTGTTATCCCTCCAACTTTTTTCTTCTTTCTCAAGATTGCTGTGTCTATTTGGGGTCTTTTTTTGTTTTTGTTGTTCCATATAAATTTTTGGAGTATTTGTTCTAGATCTGTGAAATATGCTGTATATGCTGTTGGTAATTTAATAGGGATTGCATTGAATCTATAGATTGCTTTGTTAGTATGGACATTTTAATGATGTTAATTCTACCAATCTATGAATATGCTATATTCTTCCACTTGTTTATGTCTTCCCCTATCTCTTTTTTCAACATCCTGTGGTTTTCTGAGTACAAGTCTTACCTCTTGGTTAAGTTTGTTCCTAAGTATCTTAATTTTTTTGTTGCAATGGTAAATGGGATTGTTTGTTTAGTTTCTCTTTCTGAGAATTCATTATTGGTGTATAAAAATGACATCAATTTCTGGGTGTTAATATTGTTCCTGCTACATCGACAAATTTATTTATTAAATCTAGTAGTTTTTTTGGTGGCCTTTAGGGTTTTCTCGGTACAATATCATGTCATCTGTGAATAGATAGCTTTACTTCTTCCTTTCCAATTTGGAGGCCTTTTATGTTTTTTTTCTCGACTGATCACTGTGTCTAGGACTTTCAGTACTATGTGGAATAAGAGTGGTGAAAGCAGACATCCTGTCTTGTTCCTGTTCTTAGGGGAAATAGTTTTAGTTTTTACCCATTGAGTATTATGTTAGCTGTATTATGTTGTTATTGATTTGGGAATATTGTACCAGCCTTGCATCCCTGAAATAAATCCCACTTGGTCAGGGTGTATGGTCTTTTTAGTATATTGCTGGATCAGATTTGCTATTTTGTTGAGTATTTTAGCATCTATGTTCATTAGGAATATTGGCCTGTAATACTCTTTCTTTGTAGTGTCTTTATCTGGTTTTGGAATTAGGCTAATTCTGGTCTCGTAAAAGAAGGTTGGATGTATTTCTTCATCTTGGATTTTTTGGAATAGCTTAAGGAGGATAGGTGTTAGTTCTTCTTTGAATATTTGGTAAAACTTCCCTGTGAGGCTGTCTGGACCAGGGCTTTTGTTTTCTGGTATCTTTTTTTTTTATTACTGCTTCAATTTCATCAGTTGTTATCAGCCTATTCAGGTTTTCTGTTTCTTCCCCATTCAGTTTTGGAAGATTGTATATTTCCAAGAATTTTCCCATTTTGTCCAGGTTTTCCAGCTTGTTGGCATATGGTTGTTGATAGTAATTTTCTTACAATCCTTTGTATTTATGTAGTGTCAGTTACTTCACTGCTTTTGTTTCTGATTTTATTTATTTGGGTCCTCTCTTTGTTTCATGATGAGTCTGGCTAAAGGTTCATCAATCTTGTTTATCTTTTTTTAAAAAAAAACAGCTCTTGGGTTCATTGATATTTTGTAGTGTTTTTTAGTCTGTAGGTAATTTATTTATGCTCTGATCTTTATTATTTCCTTGCTTCTACTTACTCTGGGCTTTTCTTGTTCTCTTTCTAATTCTTTAAGTTGCAGGATTAGATCGCTTATTAGAAAAATTTCTTGTCTCTTGAGGTAGGCCTGTGTAGTGCTCTCAAGACTGTTTTTGCTGTGTCTCACAGATTTTGGGTTGTTGTGTGTTCCTTTTCTTGTTTCCAGGAATTTTTCTCTTCTTTTATCTCTTGGTAACCCATTCATGTTTAAAAACATGCTATTTACCCTCCATGTGTTTGAATGTTTTTGGTGTGCTTTTATTGTAGTTGATTTCTAATTTCATGCTATTGTGATTCGAGAAGTACTTCATATGATTTCAATATTCTTGAACTTATAGAAACTTATTTTATGTCCTAACACGTGGTCTATCTTTGAGAATGTCCCATGTGCACTTGAGAAGAATGTATATTCTGCAGCCTTGGGGTAAAATATTCTGTAAATGTCAAATAAATCCATTTAATCTAGTGTGTCATTTAGGGTCACTATTTCTTTGTTAATATATATTTTAGAATACCTATCCAGTTATGTATATGGTATTAAAGTCCCCTAGTATGACTGTATCACTGTCTATATCTCCCTTAAAGTCCTCCAGAAATGTTTTTATATACTTGGGTGCCCTATATTGGATGAATATATGCTTATCAGGATTATATCTCCTTGTTGTATTGATTCCTTTAGTATTATGAAGTGGTCTTCATTGTCTCTTGTCATGGCCTTCATTTTGAAATCTATTTTGTCAGATATTAGTATTACTACTGCAACTATCTTTTCATTTCCATTTGCATGGAAATTATTTTTCCATACCTTCACTTTCATAGTGTGCAAGTCTTTTGTTCTGAGATGTGTCCCTTGTACACAGCATATATGTATATGGGTCATGTTTTCTTATCCATTCAGCTACCCTATGTCTTTTGATTAGAGCATTTAATCCATTTACATTTAAGGTTATTATTGATAGGTACCTATTTGTTGCCATTTTTATTCATTATGCTTGTGTTCCTTTCTCTCTCTCTCTCTCTCTTCTTCTTACAGCAGTCCTTTTACCATTTCTTGCAGTGCTGGTTTAGTGGTAATAAACTCCTTAGCCTTTTTTTGTCTGTGAAGCTCTTTATTTCACCTTCAATTTTGAATGATAGCCTTGCTGGATAGAGTAGTCTTGGATTCAGTTCCTTACTTTTCATTACTTTGTACATTTCATGTCACTCTCTTCTGGTCTGAAGTCTTTCTATTGAGAAACCAGCTGACCTTCTAATGGGAGATCCCTTTTAGGTAATTTTCTGTCTCTCTCTTGCAGCCTTTAAGATTCTTTCTTTGTCTTTAACATTTGCCATTTTAATTATGATGTGTCTTGGTATGGGTTGTGTCGAGTTCATCTTGATTGGGACTCTCTGTGTTTCCTGGTCTTGAGTGACATTTTTCTTCACCAGGCTAGGAAAGTGCAAGAAAGTTCTGCCCATTCAGCTGCCATCTTCTCCCTTCTGAGTTTGCCTGGAGCTCTGGCCTTTCTGAAGCATTTTGACACTCACCTGTAGTTATCAGCCCTGGATCACAATAAGATCCTCTGGTGAACTTTCCAGAAATACCAATGCCAGGGCCCCACCCCCCTGATTCTTATTTCAATATCCTGAGTGGAACCCAGGCATTGGCATTTTATAAGCTCCCCAGAAAATGCTAGTGTGAAGCCACAGCCAAGAAGGACTGTCAAATAGCATCCTCTGAAATGGAAGAAACTGATAAGGTGCTTGGGGAAGGGCTTATGCAATAGTTTTGGGGTTTTTTATAAAACAGTAATGCTTTCCCCCCAAAAGGAGCAGGGCTAAAGCTTTATAGTCCTCATCTCAATTAATACTTTATGAGAAAGGCAGTAGGGCTATAATTCCCAGGGTTCTGATAAGGAAATGGCTGAGAGGGTGGAGTGCCTCCCAGCCCACCCAGCTGGCCAGTGGCAGTACTGAGTCCAGGTTGCACAGTGTCTCACCATGGACACAGCACACACTCATGCCGGCCTCCAAGCCCTGACCCCATTCTTTCTAGAAAAAAGAGTAGAAGAAAATACACCAAAATGTTAATGATGATTATCTTTGGCTGATGTGATTATGGGTAATGTTTTCTTCCATATACTTTTCTGCATTTTTCAAGTTTTGATCAGTGAGCATGTATTATGCTAATAATCTCAAGCAAATAAAAGTCCTTTCAAGGTGTTGAAGTAAATACCATTGTCATTTTCTGGAAGAGCAAACTGAGGCCAATGGAGTCCAAAGGAAATGAATGACAGAATTAGGGATAAGCCTGTTACCCAAGTCCCATACAGTCTTGAGACCCCTCAGGGGGTGAAGCAAGTGTGATCTGATCTTTACCTATAAGATGAGGCTCTAACCCAACGAGGTGTGTCTCAGTGGTTGAGTGTCGACCTATGAATCAGGAGGTCACAGTTTCATTCCCAGTCAGAGCACATGCCCAGGTTGCAGGCTCCATCCCCAGTGTGGGCATACAGAAGGCAGCCGATCAGTGATTCTCTCTCATCATTGATATTTCTCTCTCTCTCTCTCTCTCTCTCTGTCCCTTCCTCTCTGAAATAGATAGAAATATACTTTGAAAAAAGATGGGGCTCTAGAAAGGTGTGAAAAAATGCCCCAAAGTCAAAATTCTTGCACTGTTTTAATTTGATTATATATGCTCTTGTAGAATAAACAGAAAAATGAAAATAAAGCAAAGAAACCTGAAATCTCACCACCCAGAAGTAAACAGTAGGAAAACTTGGGGTCCTATTCTTTCAGGCAAGTCTTTTTATAAATACTCATACAGATCCAAGTAAGCATCATTTTTTTATCAATGGGCCATGTTGTACACATGTAGTTTTGCAAATTTTTTTTAAATTCAATATATCATGGGCATGTCAGTCTTAGAATGGCTGCATAGTGTTATATGGGTGTGCCATAAAGCATTTCCAGTGGTTCTCAACCTTCCTAATGCTGCGACCCTTTAATACAGTTCCTCATGTTGTGGTGACCCCCAACCATAAAATTATTTTCGTTGCTACTTCATAACTAATTTTGCTACTGTTATGAATCGTAATGTAAATATCTGATATGCTATATGTGTTTTCCGATGGTCGCGACCCACAGGTTGAGAACCGCTTAGCCAATCTCTTCAATGGACATGAGTTGTACCTAACCAATCTTGTTTTAATTGTGTTGGATAAAGGACATTCTAATATAGTCCTACAAATAACTCTGGAGTAAAGTTTTTTTGTTTGTTTTGTTTTGTTTTTGTACAGTGAACAGTGACTAAATTGGGGTATGTGGATGTGAGAGTGTGTGTGTAAATGTGTGTCTTC